TATTTATTTATTTATTTATTTATTGTTTTCCCCCAAAGCCCCAGTAGATAGTTGTGTGTCATAGTTGCACATTCTTCTAGTTGCTGTATGTGGAACGCGGTCTCAGCATGGCTGGAGAAGTGGTGTGTCGGTGCGAACCCGGGATCCGAACCCAGGCCGCCAGCAGTGGAGCGCACGCACTCAACTGCCAAGCCATGGGGCCGGCCCATCTCTCTTTCTTTTAAAAGGATAATTTTCTTAGACTCTTAGTCTGCTCTTGATAGAGGTTATTATATAAAAAGGTTTTCTTTACCTTGGAGTAAGTTAATTAAAAGACAGAGATCTATGTTTTGTTAATGTAATTTCCTATGTTCAAAAGACTGAGGTCTCTCTATTAAGGTTTTTTTTTTTGACTATTTAAATGCTGTTTGACCTTGACTGTTGCTGTTGTCACTTTGTTTGAACGGATAACTAAGCATTGTTTCACTGTGACAAGATCAGCAGCCCCTTGATCTTGTCTGACCAAGTGTTTTAAAAGCTTTTGATATTTTTGACAAGCTCCACAAAATTCATATCCTAAGTAAAGTCTTTCTTTTGACTTTTTTCTTTGAGACTTTTCAAAGGGCCCTGGGACTTCTCAAAGAAATTTATTTTCTCTTCCATTAAGAGGGAAATACTAAACTAATTTGGCTTGTTTGGCATGCTAAATTGCATGGGAAGCATTGTCAAGTAAATGATAAACCTTCTTAGGTTATATTGCATAGGTAAATATTATTCACTATTTTAACCCTGCTACCCTGCTACAAACATCACAAGAGGAAAAGACCACGACTGCATTCTATTATCTAATTTGGTTTACAGATGGGTCTTGCTTAAATGTTAAGCAAGACATTATCAAGCTGGATTTTCTGTTCAGCCTTGAGAATGCCTGCTACTTCCTATTAACTCTGCTAACCCAGTAAAAGACTTCCTTCTACAGGCTCAAGAAATTGCCATGGAAGAAAAGAAACAGATATGGCAGTCAAAAGGGGGAATTTTTGATACCCCCTCACAGATATGGTTAGATCCAATAAAGGGAAAAGCCCATAGTACCTCTTGGAGCACAATTGCCACTGCTCCAGGATATACACTAATTAACCCATTGGGCACCTGAAAAAATAATTTTGTGGGGAAAGCAATACTTTTGAAAACTTTCTCCCACAGTGGCTCATAAAGCTATACTCGTTGTGTTATATGCCCGAAACATAATCTAGGGAAACTACTTCATGAATCACAAGGCCACTTTCCCTTTCCTAAGGGACCATTTGAGGTATGGCAATTGGACTTTGTCCAAATGCCACCATCTCAAGAATATAAATATATCTTGTAATGATCTGTGTGTTCTCACATTGGATCGAGGCCTTTCCTTTCAGAAGAGCAAGGGCTCTAACAGTAGGTAAAGTACTATTAGAGAGAATAATTCCTGTTTGGGGAATTTCTACTGAGTTACATAGTGACCAGGGAGCTCATTTCACCTGACAAACAATGAAATCCGTTTGTAATATTTGGCCAAAAATACAGCATTTCCACTGTGCT